AAAAAAGTCACCCCCCAGCTGGAGCAACATCCCCCCCCACCCCCCCCCCCCCCAACTCCACCCACTTGCTGCTGCTGCCGCCGCCGCCACTGCCACCCCCGCTGGCCGCTTTCTTGGACTTCTTCAGCTGGACCTGGTGAGCCCGGGCCTCCTCGTCCCCGCCTTTGGCTTTGCGCTTCTCCGACGACGACTTTTTCTTCTTCTTCTTCTCCTTCTTGTCTCTCTTCTTCTTGGGCTTGGAAACCGGTCCCTGCGAGAGTGCAGCCAGCTGCTCGTGCACCGCCCGCAGCTGCAAGAAGGGGGAGGAACCAAGAAAGATGCCATGAGGGGCCCTCTTCGCCTCCCCTTCCTCGCTCCCACCGTGAACGCAGAAGCACCTCCCGGTCGGTCCCCTTTCCGCCATTCACCTGCTCCTGCAGCTCTGCCAGTCGGTTTGCCCGCTCCTCCTCCGAATCCGAACTCTCCTCGCTGTCAGAGGAGCTCTCGCTGCTGCTCTCCTCTTCATCGCCCTCTTCGTCATCGTCATCGTCCTCATCGCTGGAAGAATCGTCCGTGGAGGACTTCATCAAGATCCCCGGCTGCGGGAGCGACGCGGAGGGGGGGTTGATGTCTATGGGTTCATCCGGCATCTTGGCATAGCTGAACTCAAAGACGTCCTGGGGGGGAGGGAGGGAGGAATGGGAGGGAGCGCAAGCAAAGGCTCTCAGCTCACTGCTGTGGGGTACGGGGAAGGGGCGGGGAGGAGGGCTTCCAAGCGCTGGGGTTCTCCACCCACCCACCTTCTCCCCACCTTCTCCCTCACCTGCAGCTTCCGAGCCATGGCCACGACGTCGTGATCCGGAGGGTTGTACTTGTAGCAGTTGGAGAACATGAGGCGCACATCAGAAGCAAACTCCTGGGCATCACGGTATTCACGGTTCTCCATCTTCCGCTACATCCAAATTGGCAAGAAATGCAAAGCCACAGGGGTTTAGACCAGGCGAGCAAAGAACCTTCAACATCTGAACTTTTCCCATGTACACTTATAAAAACAACCTGCTCTCTTCTCCTCTCCCCTGTCATCAAATTTCGGCAAGAGCACCGAAGCTGAGCAGAGCAAGATGACTGGAGCAGCACACTTCACTCCTGCCTTTGCAAGTGCGGCAACAGAGTTCCATTAGACCCAAACTTTTCTCACGGAATCAGGCTGGCTGTGCCCCAGAGCCCACAGGCGAGGTACGTCTCTCACAGGCCCACACACTCCTCCCTTTGGGAAACCCATTCGCTCTGGCTTTCACACCATCTGCTTCCTGGCACCTTCACTCGGCTGTCACAGCTTTCATTCCTCACAAGCCAGAGTGACCTTAGCAACAACAAATGCAGCGAAGAAACGCCGCGTTCCCATGCCGTTAAAGGCTGCTGAGTGCCCCAGGAACGTAAGAAACAACCACCATACACTGACTCTGCACCAGGGATCAGGCAACTTTTTTTTAACCTTTTCACCCCCCAACATTTTATATATGCCAGAAATCATACATTATTTGAATTCAAAATATTATTGAATCTACAAAGGCTGTGTACTGAACTAGCAGGATATATCATAAGTATCAATGACTGCCAGGCTATGTACCGAACTAGCAGGATGCACCAAATTTAATAAAGATGTGCACTATTTTTGCTGGAACACATTCCACTCCGGCCATGGGGTGGTATAGGGAGTAGTAAGGTGTCCAACATGCCTAGCAAGTTGCATTAAATTTTTGCTAGCTTGCAGAGGATTTAATCATCATCAATAGCCGCCAGAGTGGTG